TTCATTCATCCAGTCACTAAAACTAGAAATTTAAGAGCTATCCTTGACAGCTTTCTCTCCCTCATCCCTACATCTGATCCATCACCAGACCCTGCTGTACCTTCCCACTTCTCCCTACCCCTACTGCCACCTTTCTGGGCCAAGCGACCACCATCTCCTGTCTGAACCACTGCAGCAGGCTCTGAGCTAGATTTCTGCTCCCATTTCTGTTGCCTACAGTCTGTTCTCCAGAAAAATCACTCTACGTGGCCGGGCGTGGTGGCTCATGCCTGTAATCCCAGCACCTTGGGAGGCTGAGGCAGGAGGATTGCTTGAGGCCAGGAATTCAAGACCAGCCAGGGCAACATGGCAAAACCCTGTCTCTACAAAAAATATGAAAATTATCCAGGTGTGGTGGTGCATGCCTATAGTCCCAACTACTCAGGAGGCTGAGGTGGGAGAATCATCTGAGGCTGAAGTGAGCCAAGGTTGAACTACTGCAGTTCAGCCTGGGTGACAGGGCTAGATCCTGTCTCAAAAAGAAAAAGAGAATCACTCTGCTTAAAATCCTTTAGTGGCTCCCGGTTGCAGATATTGTGGATGCCCTGGTCATAGGTCCTGGGCACACATCATTTCTGGGCATGCAGACCCCATGGCTTCCAACAGCAGCCCCTTTGACTCTTAGTCTGGGGGCTTTATCTGGCTATTTGAAGGGCAGGTTAGAAGTGCCAGGAGTAAACACTACTCCACCCCCAGCCCCGCCCCCCCCCCCCCGCAGTATTCCTCAACCAATGACTGATGGAAGTTGATGGATAAATATCCCAGATCTCTCACCCCTTGGTTGGGATTCCATTGAGTAGTGCTCTATGGATCTCCTCAGGCTCCTTGCTGGATTTGAGCCCCAGTTGTCCCAGTGGTAAGCTGCTTAATGATGCATCCTGTATTGGCTTCCTTCCTTTCCCTTCCTCTCTAGTGCCTCCTGAAATCACTTCCCAAATAAACTACTTGCAGTCACATCTTTGACTCAGGGTCAGTTTCTGGGGGAACCCAAATGAAGACACTCACCACTGCATTTGAGATGATATCCAACCTTCTCATCATGGTCTACGAGTCAGGTATGACCTGCTTCCTGGCTGCTGCCTCCTTCAACACTCCAGTTGCACTGGGCTTTCACCTCCTCACATACATTGAGATTCTGTGGCCTCAGGGCCTCTCTCTGGGTTCTTCTGTCTTTCTGGAATGCTCTCTTTGTTCCTCTTTTCTGGTTTCATTGCATGGGTCATTTCCCCCAAAAAGCCTCCCTGCCCTCCACAGCCCAAGCTCAGTACCCCATGTGGTCCCCTCTGCAGCTCCTGTTCCTTTCCTCCCTAGCGTGTATCATCATTTGTAATGATATATTTATTTGTCTCTGTTCAATGCTTACATTCCTCCCCAGATTGTAAGCCTCTTTGAGGGTAACAATGTCTATCTTGTTTACTTACTATATTCCCAGAGCCCGCCTCACAGAGGTGCCTGGTTTGGGGCTGTCACATTGTCCGGTTCCAGGGCTCATTCTCATAACATTCTTCAAGAGTGGCGTCCCCTAGAGTTGTGTGACATGACAGCTCTGCTGCCGTGGTCAGAAACCAATCTGACTTGCTGTCATGTCAGTGCCTCCCCACGCATGTGGATTTTTTCCCACCCCAAAGGCTCAGGAACCACAGAACGTAACCCTGATGAACCTGACTCCAATTAGGAGCTTGCAGTTGGCTGGTGAGAATTCCCAGACAGCCCCGAGGGTGTCTCCTCCCACTCCTTGAAGAATCTGTAGCCTGGTGTTCACTGTGCTGGCTCAAGGGTCAGAGTGAGGAGTGCTTGGTAATTGCACTGAGCCAAAGACACTCACTTCCCAATTATTGGGCATTTGAAGTTATTTGATGTGGGAAAAACCTCCACGCTGAGGAACTGCCTCTGAGCTGAAGTGAGAACATCTATGAGACCACAGGCTCAGGGCTCACAAAACACACTGTCCCTTCTGCTATTAGCAATTTTCTCTGGCCTGGGCACAGCTGGGCCAAAATGAACACTTAAAAATACCCTTATCAAAGTGTAATTTATATGCAATAACTCTATAAACAATAAACTTTATGGATCTGTGATTTACATGCAACGATGCATCCAATTTAGGTCGACAGTTTGATGAGTTTTGACAGATGTATACACCCCTGTAACTGCCACCCCAATGAAGATATAGGACATTTCTGTCACCCCAGAAACTTTCCTCATTCCTCTTTGCCATCAATCACTATGTCCTCAACCCCAGACAACCACTGAACTGCCTTCTATCACTATAGATTTCTAGAGTTTCAGGCTGGGTGCAGTGGCTCACGCCTATAATCCCAGTAGTTTGGGAGGTCGAGGCCGGTGGATCACTTGAGGTTAGGAGTTCAAGACCAGCCTGGCCAACATGGCAAAACCCCATCTCTACTAAAAATACAAAAATTCGCTGGGTGTGCTGGCAGGCACCTATAATCCCAGCTACTCCAGAGGCTGAGGCAGGAGAATTGCTTAAACCTGGGAGGTGGAGGTTGCAGTGAGCCGAGACTGAACTCCAGCCTGGGTAACAGAGCAAGACTCTGTCTCAAAAAAAAGAAAAAAAAAAATTCCTAGAGTTTCATATATATGGATTCAAACAATATATAATCTTTTGTGTCTGGCTTCTTTTGCTCAGCATAATGTTTTTGAGATTCATTCATGTTATTTTTGTGTTTTAGTTCATTCCTTTTTAATTGCTAAATAGTATTCCAGTGTATGGATAGACCATAATTTGTTTATCTGTGCACATATTGGTGGACATTTGGGTCACCTACAGTTTTTGACTATTATGAATGAAGCTGCTGTGTCCAAGTCTTTGTATGGGTGTATGTTTTCCTGTCTCTTGGGTAAATGTCTAGGAGTGAAATTTCTGGGTCACGTGTTTAGTGTATGCTGAGCGCTGTAAGAAATTGTCAAACTCTTTTCCAAAGCTGGTCCATTTTGCATAGTCACCAGCAATGGATGAAAAATCCGTTGCTCCATATCACAAACACCTGATATTGTCAGTCTTATTAATTTTAGCTATTCTGGTGTGTGTGTAGTGGTATCTCATTGAGGCACTGAGGTTTTTTTTTGTTTTGATTTGATTTTTGTTATTGCTGTTGGTTTTTTGTTTTTTGTTTTTTTTTTTGAGATGGAGTCTTACTCTGTCTCCCAGGCTAGAGTGCAGTGGCGTGATCTTGAGTGCAGTGCACTTGAACCCAGGAGGCGGAGGCTCACTGCAACCTCCGCCTCCTGGGTTCAAGTGATTCTTCTGCCTCAGCCTCCCAAGCAGCTGGGATTACAGGCACGTGCCACCATGCCTGGCTAATTTTTATATTTTCAGCAGACACGGCCCGGCCTCATTGAGGTTTTAATTTGCATCTCGTACTGATTAAGGATGTTGCATACAACCGGGTGCAGTGGCTCACGCCTATAATCCCAGCACTTTGGGAGACTGAGGCCGGCAGATTGCTTGAGCTCAGGAGTTGGGAGACCAGCCTGGGAAACATGGCAAAACCCTGTCTCTACAAAAAATTTTTCTGTGGTCCCAGCTACTTGGGAGGCTGAGGCGGGAGGATCACTTGACCCTGGGAAATCAAGGCTACAGTGAGTTGTATCATACCACTGCACTCCAGCCTGGGTGACAGGGTGAGACCCTGTCTCAAAAAAAAAAAGATGCTACACACTTTTTCATGTGTTCATTGGCCACTTATATATCTTCTCTTGTGAACTGTCTGTTCAAATATTTTGCCCACATTTTAATTGGGCTATTTGCTCATTATGGAATTATAAGATTATGTATTCCAAAGGCAGTGGGTAGAGCTATTCAAGGTTCTCAATGTGATGCCAGGGGTTCTTAGTCTCCTCTTGTTTCTGGGGTCTGGCCAGGATAACAGACTGGGACAAATGTAACTGAAGGTGGAAAAAGAGACATAAATTATGTTAGCATAAAACATTCAGGAGTCATCTAACCTCAAACTTCAGTACTGAAGTGTTTGAATCTGAATCACCTGGAGGACTTGTTCAAATACAGATTCCCTGAGGGCACCACTCCCAGAGTTTCTGCATTAGTGGGTGATATGCTTTGGCTCTGTATCACCACCCAAATCTCGTGTCAAATTGCAATCCCCACGTGTCAGGGGAGGGACCTTGTGGGAGGTGATTGGCTCTTGGGGGAGGTTTCCCTATGCTGTTCTTGTGATAGTGAGTGAGTTCTCATGAGATCTGATGGTTTAAAACTGTGTGGCAGTTCCCCACCTCACTCTTTCTGTCCTGCCACCATATAAGATGTGCCTTGCTTCCCCTTTGCCTTCTGCAATGATTGTAAGTTTCCTGAGGCCTCCTCAGCCATGTGGAACTGTGAGTCCATTAAATCTTTATAAATTACCTAGTCTCAGGGAGTTCTTTATAGCACTGTGAAAACGGACTAATACAGTAAGTGTGGAGTGGGTTGTGAGAATCTGAATTTCTAGACAGCTTCCAGGTGATGCCAATGCTACTAGTCTATAGACCACACTTTGGCCAGGCGTGGTGGCTCATGCCTGTAATCCCAGGGTTCTGGGAGGCCAGGGTGGGAGGATTGTTTGATGCCTGGAGTTTGAGACCAGCCTGGGCAACACATTGAGACCTACCCTGAGCTCCACAAAAAATTAGCCAGGCGTGGTGGTGGTACTTGCCTGTAGTCCCAGTTACTCGAGAGGCTGAGGTGGGAGAATCACTTGAGCCCAGGAAGTCAGGATAGTAGTGAGCAATCATGGAGCCACTGCACTCCAGCCTGGGCAATAAGACCCTGTCTCCAAAATTAATTAAAAAAAAATACAGAGAACACACTTTGAGTAGCACCTTATAGATGCTCAAGCTTGAAGTGAGACCCTAGTGAGGACCTTTTACTCCCCACTTCTCCATTTTATAATCACCAAAGTGCTCCCTTCCTCCTCTGCCTACCCATCCATCCCACTCTGTAGAGCAAATGGACAGAACTGAATGACTGACAACCCACATTGTCTCCCTGGAGAGGACCAAAGGAATCCAAGGGACCAAGGAAGAAAGAGAAAAGCAATCAAGCAAGAGAAGTAAATACATCTACCAACCTCAAAAGGAGTGGACACACAGGGTGCCCTAAAAGTCTAGAGCAGAGGCCATAAACTATCTGCAACTGTCTGGATATGTATTTCATTTTGGAGGATGCCTCCACCGTGTTTAAAATTCTTTGAAATCAATTGTTAACATTTATATACTTGGAGATTTTATCTAAAAAAGCTGGCTGGGCATGGTGGCTCACGCCTGTAACCTCAGCACTTTGGGAGGCTGAGGCAGGAGGATCGTTTGAGCCCAGGAGTTCGAGACCAGCCTGAGCAACACAGTGAGACAACCCCCTCTCAAAAAAAAAAATGTAGCCAGGTGTAATGCTCCTTGCCTGTGGTCCTGCCTACTTGGGAGGCTGTTGTGGGAGGATCGCTTGAGCCTGGGAGGTCAGGGCTTCAGTGAGCTATGATTGCATGGCTATACTCCAGCCTGGGCGACAAAGTGAGACTCTGTCTCATAAATAAATAGATAAATAAATAAATAAATTGGATTTACACTTGAAAAAATTAGGAAATCCTGCCATACTGGTCCCCATTCATACTCTTCTCCCATAGTGACTCTGAGTCTTCTTCCGTCTGCCTAGGGGTGGTCACAGCTCTCATGGTAGCTAGGCCCTGTGTACCTTGTCACCCTTGTTGGTTCCATTAATTCTGCCACACTGTGTAAATAGATAATTCATTTGCTCTCTTCAGTTTACCCTGTGCTATCTGCTTCCTTCCTTGGCTACTTATTACAGATCTTCAAGCATTAAGGGTATGATACTGATGTATGTTACCACTTCTGTCACAAAGATAATGCTATAATCCTCCATCTCCACCTCATCTTTCAGTCTCAGTTTTCTCATCCAAAAAAGTGCGAATGAAAATATCCACTGCTTGGAAGTCAGATTAAATATGTTGCTACCTGGCACATACAAATGTGAGTTTCTTTCCAACATCACATTTTGGAGAATAAAAATAGCCCTGGCAGAAATGTCTCAACAGGTTGTCCTAAGCCTAGTTTCTATTTTTTGCTTTCAAAGCCAGAATCATGTTAAGTTTTTCACTGTTTAGGATCATCATTGCCATAATGATCTGTTAGGGCCCCGTTTCTGGTAATAGTCATAAACAACAACATCTGCCACTTACTGAGGGTTACTATACACCAGGGACTTCCCACATATTGTCTTTTTTAAAATTTTATTCTGTCCAGGTGTGGTGGCCCATGCCTGTAATCCCAGCACTTTGGGAGGCTGAGATGGGCAGATCACCTGAGGTCAGGAGTTCAAGACCAGCCTGGCCAACATGGTGAAATCCCGTCTCTACTAAAAGTACAAAACTTATCTGGGCATGGTGGCAGGCACCTGTAATCCCAGCTACTCAGGAGGCTGAGGCAGGAGAATGGCTTGAACCCAGGAGAGATGGGGGTTTGCTATGTTGCCCAGGCTGTTCTCAAACTCCTGGGTTCAAGCCATTCTCCTGCCTCTGCCTCCTGAGTTGCTGGGATTACAGGTATGAATCACTTCGCCTGGCATCATGTATTTATTACCTTATTGAAAGCTCACAGCAACTGTAGGAGGTGAGTGCCATTATTTGTTTGTTTGTTTTTGTTTGTTTTTTGAGCTGGAATCTCACTCTGTCACCCAGGCTGGAGTGCCATGGCGTGATCTCCACTCACTGCAACCTTCACCTCCCGGGTTGAAGCGATTCTTGTGTCTCAGCCTCCTGAGTAGCTGGGATTAAAGGCATGTGCCACCATGCCCGACTAATTTTTGTATCTTTAGTAGCGATGGGGTTTCGCCATGTGGTCAGGCTGGTCTTGACCTCCTGACCTCAGGTGATCTGCCCGTCTCAGCCTCCCAAAGTGCTGGGATTACAGGCGTGAACCACCACACCTGGTCGTGAGTGCCGTTATTAACCCCCTTTCCCAGATGAGGAAACAGGGGTTAGTATTAAACTGAGGCTTCAAGAGAGTTGTTTTCCCAGGGTCAAGTGGTAGAGCTAGGATTTGAACCCGGGCTGGTCTGACTTCAGAACTTGATCTGCACTCCCCTCACTATAGATGTCTAATGAATTATTGCATATATTTCTAACGTATCCTATTATATGTCAGACACCCGTAATTCACCTTGTAGTGGGACTTTCTGAAAAATTCTATGTCAGGTGCAGGCTGTATTAGTTTTCTCTTGCTGGCAACGCAGGTGTCCTCAGCAGAGAAACAGACCCATCGTCAATTCCCCTTCCTCTCCACGTGTCCCAGGCTAAGCCAATCCAGTGCTTCCCATTCCACTAGCCACACTAATTGACTCAGGAATGGGCATTAGATGAAAACTGGCCAATTAGAGTGAATTTCAGGAATGCTGGCAGGAGTCACCAGAAGACTGCTCCCTTCTGAAGCTGGACTTGAATCTGAGAAAATGTGGCCTGGGGCTGCTGGTGGCCAGCTTGTCCCCATTAGGTGACAAAATGCAGACAGAAGAGCCAAGCAGCAATGGAGGAAAATCAGGTACCTAAAGTTAGCTCAACCCCTTCCTCATTCAGTTATACAATTCAATAAGTTCTTTTCTTCTCCCCAGTTTAAAGTTTACTGTGTTATATTCACTCTCAGTTGGAAGGATCTTAGCTGATACAGCAGGTCAAAGCCTTTTTAGGTAAAGCATTTGCCAATTGATCTTTGTGGTATGATTCTGGCCACCTTATTGTCAAATCTCAGATGTAACAGCATTTCATCTGTAAATATTTTATATCTTTTTTTTTTTTTGAGATGGAGCCTCACTCTGTCACCCAGGCTGGAGTGCAGTGGCACAATCTCGCCTCCACCTCCTGGATTTAGGCAGTTCTCCTGCCTCAGCCTCCTGAATAGCTGGTACTACAGGCATGCGCCACCATGCCTGGCTAATTTTTGTATTTTCAGTAGAGACGGGGTTTTGCCATGTTGGCCAGGCTGGTCTTGAACTCCTGACCTCAAGTGATCTGCCTGCCTTGGCCTCCCAAAGTGCTGAAATTACAGGCGTGAGCCACCGTGCCTGGTCATCCATCATATCTTTAAAAGGCAAAAATTATTTAAGAAAATATAACCAGAATAGCATTAAAAATGAAAAATTGGCTGGGCATAGTGACTCACACCTGTAATCCCATTGATTTGAGAGGCCAATATGGGAGCCACATTTGAGGCCAAGAGTCTGGGCAGCATATCCAGGCTCCACCTCTACAAAAAAAAAAAAAAAAAAAAGAAGAAGAAAAAACCGAAACAAACAAACAAGCAAACAAATAGCTTGGTGTAGTGGCACACACCTGTAGTCCCAATTACTCAGGAGGCTGAGGTAGGAGGATCACTTGAGCCCAGGAGGTCAAGGCTGCAGTGAGCTATGATCTTGCCACTGCACTCCAGCCTGGGCAACACAGTGAGATCTTGTCTCTAAATATAAATAAGTACAAATAAAATAAAAATCAGCTATAATGTAGAATCATATTTATGACTAACTGTTGCAACCAAACTTTTCCAAAAATTTCCCATGAAAGGTATAATTATACTCATTAAAAATTGCTCCTTAAAAACTGTCAGTGACTTTGTTGTTTGAATTTAAGATCTTTAAATACATTTTGGGAAATGAGACGCAGAGAGACATCGAGAACCTATTAGCAGGAGTTGAGACCAGTATGCAAAACGTGGCAAAACCCTGTCTCTACAAATAATACAAAAATTAGCCAGGCATGGTGGCTGTGAGCCTGTGGTCCCAGCTACTTGGGAGGCTGAGACGGGAGGATGGCTTGAGCCTGGGAGGCTGAGGTTGCAGTGAGCCAAGACTGCACTACTGTACTCCAGCCTGGGCAACAGAGTGAAATCCTATCTCCAAAAACAAAACAAAACAAAACAAAACAAAAACCCATTAGGAGTGGGAGTGTGAGCATATAGATGTGTGTGCGCACATACACACATTTCTTCTTATGTGTGTGTTTATGGAGCCAAAAGACTGCATAACCCTAATTGGAAATCTAACAGTAAAGCCATTTTGATGTTGCAAGCAGCTGGTAAGCGGGAATTTACAAACTACAAAGAGTAAAATATAAATAAAGAAGCTGAAGAAAAAAAAAAAAGAGAGAAACAGAAAGGACACCTCCGGTTGCCAGTAACTAGGGATGGATGAAATAAGAAGCATTTTCAGTTTTAGTCAAACCTTTAGAATTTTTCAAAATACTTAAATGAGAAAAATAAGGAGGTGGAGTGCGTGTGGGAGTGGGCACTGCCAATTTAGATGAAGCTAAAATTTTAAATCTTGTTAAACAATCCCAACAAATTGGCATTCAAAGTGTGCTATTAATAAAAGCGTTCCTTTAAAAAAAAGGCTTGGTGTAAACCACTTTTTTTCTCTTCTCTTCTCTCTTCTCTCTCTCTCTCTCCCTCCCTCTCCCTCTCCCTCTCTCCTTCCTTCCTTCCTCTTTCCCTTCCCTTCCCTTCTTTCTTTTTCTTTCTTTTGACAGGGTCTCACTCTGTTGGCCAGGCTGCAGTGCAGTGGAGCGATTTTGGCTCACTGCAACATCTATCTCCCGGGCTCAAGCGATCCTCTCACTTCAGCCTCCTGAGTAGCCAGGACCACAGGTGCATGCCACCACCCCCGCCTAACTTTTGTAATGTTTGTAGAAGTGGGATTTCGCAATGTTACCCAGGCCAGTCTTGAGCTCCCAGATTCAGGTGATCCTCCTACCTTGGCCTCCCAAAGTGCTGGGATTACAAGTGTGAACCACCACCCCTGGCCTCCCCTTTCTACTTTCCCTTAATATGCTAAGGTACTTGGGTTACAAAGACTGTTCAACTTTTAGTTCCTTTGTTTATTAGCTGTGTGACCATGGAGAGTTAACTAGAACTTTCTGAGCCTCAGCCTCCAGGCTAAGTTAAAAAATTTTTTTGTAGACATAGGTTTTATAGACAGCACTACTATGTTGCCCAGGCTGGTTTTGAACTTCTGGCCTCAAGCAATCTTCCCTCCTTGGCCTCTCAAAGAGCTGTGATGAAAGGCATGAGCCACCATGCCTGGTCTGATCTCTGTTTTTAAGTATTGGCAATGAAGTCACATTTTTCTAGAACACCAATGAAAC